AATTCTGCTCTTAGCTCCCTGTGTCCAAGCCTGTGAGTAACAGAGAGAGAGGTGACCGTGAAGCCTCCTCTACTAACCGTCAAGACATAATACCTTAAAATTCTGATATTTTTGTTCAATAATGGTTTTATATGATTGTTTTAGTAATAGACATGTGTATACTATTATCTTTCAATATCTCTCATTTTTCACAAACTGTTTGAAGCCCCCTCACAAGTGTGTCAATCAAAGATAGTGTGCATTATTTTCCATTTACACAAAACACAGACAACTAGCATATGCTTAATAATGAATAAGAAGGAACTGTATGAAGAAAGCTTAGCACTTGATTGAAAAATACACCAAATGGGTGGATGCACAATTATAAAGAACTGTCCATTTACCTTCAGATTATTTGATAGTTGATCCAATCATAAATAAAATATCAAAAAGATCTTTTAGAGTTTATTAAAAGTTTTTCATATTAACTGGAAGAAAATCATGAGCAGAGCAAAGAGATTTTGAACAGACAGATTCATGATGCAGACCATTAGGCAGTGGTCCATGTTCTAGGGCTTAATGAAACAGCGCAGACCTCGTTTGAGAATAGAAGGCCTGTGGAAGAGGGACAAAAGCCTACAAATGGGTAAGAAGACAGCGAACCCCTTGGAAATTGGAACCTGGGTAAGCAGGAACTTGCCAGAGAAGGGAAAATGAAATCTTTTTCCTGAAGAGAGAGTGATCGACGCGTCTTCAAACTGCACCTTATTATCGAAGGCATCAAATTTAGGCGACCTGGAGAACAAGGCTGTCCTGTGGACTTCCTGCAGCTTGGTTTCCTCAGGCCATCTCATACTTAACCACTTGTGCCACCAGGGATTTTTAAAGACAAGCATCTCCAACTCTCTCAAAATGTCAGCAATCTAGTTTTAATAGTATATTGAAAGAATAGAGCATTATCACTAAATAGGGAAAACAATTTGGGGTCCCATAATTGAAAGGGTACTGGGTCAATGTCTTTCTTTTTAAAAAGAATTAAAGTATCTTTTAATTGAATCCAGAATGACATTAGGCAATATTTAAAACCACTGTCTATTTATGAAAAGTATTTTTTCTAATGAGATAAACAATAACTATCTCAAACAAGTAGTTAATAATTTAAAAAATGAAAATCTGATGGCATTATTATCAAATTCAATTAAGGTTAAAAAAAATGATGGCACAAGTATCTCCCCAAGTTAAGATGATTGTGGAATTTTATCACATGTAACAAGGCAGAATATAAAAATTTGATTTCAGCAATTATTGAAAAATCATTATTAGGTCAATATAAAATTATCATTATTTGACAATATAATTTTGAAATCCAAAAGAAAATGTACTTATGAAACCCAGAAGAATCAGATGAAAATATAGTAGAAAAATAGAGGCATCAATAATAGACTATACAAGGTTAAGTGAAAACGTATTCATATATGCAGAGGTTAATTCTTAACAAATGTTCAAATATGTCTCTGCTCTTAGCAATATCCTTGTCTTAGTATCACTTCTGTAGCTTCCAAAATGAAAATATTTTTCTTTTGTGCTCTAGGGAAAAAGATTTGAAGTATGTGCTAATATCAAATTCTTAACAAAACCCAAGTGGACATCTTTCCAAATAATTGAAGCTTGCTACAACTTTCTGGAAGTGCTACCTATATAAGCCAAGAGTTTTCAGATATATCAAGCATTTTTAAGAGAGGTTTGGAAAGCCTCTAAAATGAGCGAAGAGAGAGAAGAGTGTCATTCAGAACAGAGAAACTATGGCTGAAGTCCAGAAATAAGTGGAAGAAGATAGCAAAACAAAATACCAAAGAAATAACACAAGCAAACCATTGAGGTGATAGCTTCCGAAGTTGGGCTCTCAGAGCTTTTAATGTTTTCCTTTTTATGTGAATATCCTGTTTTCAGCAAGTCTGCTCTGAGTGTTAAAACCATTGCATAAATATCAACTAACCCATAAAGGTGATCTTTCATTTGTCTTTTAAGCAAGAACAAGGCTAATGAAGACAAGCAGATTGTAGCTGGGGGGG